AGAGGTGGGGTAATTTACGCGGTGGGGGGGGGTGGGGGAAGGAATCTGTCGCGCTGCTTGCATCTGTTTCAGCAGGCGTTGAAATAAGTTGGTCTTGCCGCGCGAGGGATCCGAAACGACTCGGTTCCCTCATTCAGCGAGGAAAAGCACAAAAGGAAATCTAAAATACTGCATTAAAATTACATTACTGGCTGCATTAAAAGCCGTCCCATTGATGCCCCGATGAAACGTGCATTGACCGCTGGCTCTTTGGAGCCCTTGTCGTGTCAGTACAAGCGCGCTAAAGGCGCCGAGCCTCCCCCGGCCCCGCTCCGGCTCTCGCAGCGACGCTCCGACAAACGGCGGCGTAAAAAGACATTTTCAGAGCCGTATAAAGCCCGGCCATTGAGCGCGGAGGCCGCTCGGACTGGGCTGACAATGGAGCCGTTGTGATCCGGGCAGTGGGGAGGCCCTCCCAGCGGCAGCGTAGTCGAGGAACCAAACCTCAATGGGGCATTATAAGTTCTTCGGATGGCGTTATCGGTGCTCCCGGCAGCCGTAAATAAAGCCGGGGCTAAGCCGGACGGCTGCGACGGCAGGGTTTAGGGGATGGAGGTGGCCGGACCTCGGCGAGAGATCCTTTACCTGCATTGGGCACGGTCCCCTTTTCCCGGTGGGACACCGAATAGGCTCCCTAAAACGCTCCGGAGACCCCGAAATGGAGATAAACCCCAGCGTTTAGGCCAAGCGTCAACAGCTCTGGCCCGAGGTGGCTCGCTCAGGTTTTTAAGCCAGTGCTAATGTTGCATTTAAGCCTCCTGGAGGGAGAATTCATCCACAGAGGATGGGGATGGATGCGACCTGTCCTTAGGGCTTTTCCGCAAATATTCCCCGGGTCTGGTTTAGCTGGGATTGCCTGTGTGGCGTCGGCTGCGCCGAGCTGGGACAGCGGCTCTGCGGGCGTAAATCACGACTTCGGCTAAATCCGTTCGGGAGGGTTTTATGGCAGCAATCGTCAAGAGGAGCGGCGATTTAATCGCGAGGCGTTGCTTCAGAAATGGGAGGGGGAAGCGGTTTTATCAGGGGCTGAGCTGGCTGGAGATGGAGCTAAAGGGAATTCGGAAGCGAGCGAAGGCGCTCGTTAGCGAAAACGCATCTTGGAGGGACAGCAGGGACGTGGCACGCGCGCCTGGTGGGTCTCTTCCTAGGGTGTTCGGGATGTCTTTTCCCTGGATTTTGGGGAAGAGCCGCCACGGGGTTGCTGGCAAAGAATTTGTCGAGGTAAATGGGAGCCTGAAGCCGGAGGAGGGATGGGCAGGGACGGGCAGAGCCCGGCGGGTACGAGGCAGCGCTCGCCGCTCGCGAGCCAGCTCTCGGGTGTCTTCGTCACGGGAGATTTTGTGGGGAATGGGATGTATTAAATGTACTTCCTCCACCCGCGACCTTTGTCTTTTTGCTCTTTGTAAAGCAGAGTTTCCTGGTACCGCACGCAAAGGGCAAGCAGAGAGAGAGGATTATTCTGAATAATCAGGCGAATGGGAAAATCCGGGTTTAGTGTTGGCATTTCAAACACAGCTTTGACCTCACTCGGAGGTGACACCTCCGAGGTGCGTCAGCGCAGTCGAGGTCTTGCTTCGTGCCACCTGCCCCGCTAATCTGAGTCACTTTAGTGTTTAAAAAAAAACGCCAAAGGGACCTTCTGGCAGGCTCCGGTTTCCACCCCTCCTGTGTTTGCACTCGGCGTTGTCTCACGGAGGGGACGATGGTTCCTGCCAACCTCGACCGCAAAATGCGTGCGTGGGTAACACCCCTCGTTGTAAAAACGCCCGCTCGCTGCTGTCCACGCTGCCGCACGGGGTGACCCGGCCGTGGCCGCCCAAGGGCCGGCCGGGTGGGAGTCACAGAATCATCGAATCGTTTAGGTTGGAGAAGACCTTTAAGATCATCCAGTCGCGCCGTCCTCCCCGACGAAGCGAGCTCTTGTTCGCTTTGGCTCTGCGCCGAAAGGGCAGGTCGCTCCTGCCTGACCCCCGCGGCGTAGCGGCGGGCGAGTTGGTGCTCACGCTCTACAGCCCAGCTCCTGGGTTAGCACGTTTCTATCATTAACCCCCCTCCGAGATCGTTAACGCGGCAGGTCGGCGGCGATGCCGGCGGGAGAAGGGAGCAGCGGGGCCCGCCAGGCGCGTTCGATCCCATCCAGGTCGCAGGAGATGCTGCGGTGCTCCCCCCGCCCCAGGACCGATGCTCTCCCCTCCCGGGGTCCCGGAGAAGGCGGTGGGGCCGTGGGGAAGGTTTCTGCGTCTCACGGTGTTTATTTCGACAGGAGGAAGCTGCCGCCGCTTTCCAAA